CAGTCAATTGCTTCAGCAGATATGGATTTGAATCAGCTGGAGGCTTTTCTCACTGCCCAAACCAAAAAACAAGGTGGCATCACGTCAGATCAAGCTGCCGTCATTGCCAAATTTTGGAAGAACCACCGAATAAAGATCCATGAGAGCCTGATCAATCAAAGCCGTTGGGATAATGTCCTGAAAAACATGAACTGGCGAGTGGATCTGAAGTCACAGTCAAGACACATCGATCAGATAAACACTCCTGTTGCAATAGTTGAAATGGAACTGGGGAAAAATGGGCAGGTAAGCTTTCTTTTGCAAAGTATGTACATCTGTTTTAGCTACATGATGCTGAGATGTTTTACCTATTGCTGAATTCACTGCATCCAAATCAAGTCGGTTTATTTTTCAGCACTTTAATGTGTTTGAACTTGTAGTCCATCTTTGGATACAAAGATACGTTCTGGGTGGTGGATGCAATTTTTTTTCTTTTTTTATGTCTTCAATTATGTATTGACAGCGCTCATTTCCAAGCATAAAGCTTGGAAAATCTGAAGTCGTAGAAATCAGACATAAATATCAGCCATGCTAGCAATTATATTAAAATTATATTTGTATTCATGCACTGCAAAGTTGATTAGTCTTTTTTTTTTTTTTTGTCTTCTAATCAAACACTAAATTTGGTAATGTCTGTGAAGTAGAAGCTGAAAACTAATAAAGTTCAGAAATCATGATGATTAAGCATCCCTTACACTTTAGGACAAAAAGACTCGTCTTTATTTTACATAACACTTATTTTCATGCTACAAGTACATCTTTATTACCAGTCACATTATGCAATCTGGTCTTATCTGCCTGAAAGAGATATATAGCTCTATCAGTGCCGAATGCTGCATTTCTTTTTTCATCTTTGTCATTCATATGAATGTGCAGCTAAAGCACAGCTTCCCATCTTCAATTTTTCTGTCTTTTTCTGACAGGAAATGAGTTTCAATTTGATATCTTTTTTTCTCTGCAATGTGTTAGTGAATCTTAGAACCTCATTTCTTTGCAGTAGCTACTGCAGATCATAGCGTGAGCTAATTTGGGGGCTTTGATGTCAATAGTTAACATTTAGTATGTTTCTTTGGATTTTGTAATACTTTAGTAGCTTATAGCAAAGAATACCTGGATTAGGTGTACCTAAAAAAAGAAAAAATAATTATATATACACAGACACATATATGTACGTATATATGTATGTACACACACCTGGCGTATACTGATGCAGACTGAATGATTTAGCTGTGTGGTTATACCAAGGCCAGAATGAAAGTACAAGTAAATTTGGGATCCTGCTGAGACAGTATGTATTGTTGAAATTATTCTTTTAGTCCACTTTTCCTCTCAGTCTTTGAAAGCTTATCCTTCCTAAGTGCTGACCCTCTGCCTTCTACTTGTGTATCTCTGCAGTGACCAATACAATAACGGTGTGTGGTTTTAGGTTTTATCCTAGCCTCAAAAAAGTAGAGTTTTCTGCTGAGGATCTTGAGATTGGAAATAATTACATTCTATTAGTAACAAATGGAAAAAGTTAAAAAAAAAAAAAGCTTACAGTGAATACATTAGAATGAGTACATTAGTGAGCAAATGGGAAAAATACCCGTGTTCATTTGAAAAAAAAAAAAAATCCCTAACTCAGAATTGCTGATGTATTTCATAAGGGAATCATGTAGTTATTGAGTCTTGTTTTGAAATTGGTTTTTTCCTGGTAATGGATTATTACGGTAACATCAATCAGCCAGTATATTTACATTTCTTTCACCCAGTCTGGAGAGAGAAAGGGGATGTGAACATGAAGGAAGAATAGACATTTCTGAGACACTGTAATTTCTCTTATCAAAGAGCCCCCCAACAAAACCAGAATGAATTATTTTAGCAATGCGGCTTCCTATTTCAAAGGGAAGTGGTTGTGTGAATGTGTTTTCTGAACTGCCATCAGACACAACTTTTGTCTCTTCTGCTGAAGATAGTGCAGTAGTGAGCTGTCAGCAAGTCTGACTATTGGTGGGGATAAGGATATTAGACTAGTACTTACAGAAATAATCATGGATTAATTAGGATTGTCACTACTTGAGTCAAAATTGGCATTTATTTTTTTCACGTAGTCTTTAGCTTTGGTTTAAATGGGTTTTCTGCTGCAAAGTTTTTGGCTGAGGCAGCCTGCAGCATGCTCACGTGATGGGCTGAGGCAGGGGAATTGGGGGAACCCAGGGACCCAAACAGCAGCAAGTGGGTTGCGAGAATGGTTTTTCCAGCCCTCAGCTTCTTCCCACATCTGTTTGGGGATCTTCTGGAAAGATGGACCTCCTGGAGAGATGATCACAGAGGTTTTACTGTTGGAGGTTGAATGAGTTGTTCCTGCATGCTGGATCCAGCCCACAAACTTAAACCCATCATGTTTTGTAGCCTTTATATGTATTTTTACATTACTGTTAGCACATTTGTATCTGTTCTAAATACCAAGTTTTGTAGCACATCAAATACATGTACACTGGTACCTTTCTGAAACTTAACAGAGAGGTTGTCAATCATAGATGTGATTTGGCGAATAGCAAAGGTCTCCTGTAGCAGAAAGCTGGCTGATGATTCGGACATAAATTATTCAGAACAGACTGTTTTCATTTGGACACTTGATAACAGGGGAGTATACAAATGCATTGATGTGTAATGAATTGACATTAATATTTCATATGCTTCAACTGAAGCAAAGAAATGCCCTGTAGAAAATGTACCTTCCCAGAATTTAAAGTCGCTCTGATTCTTCTCTGTGTCTCTGGACTGGATTTAGATCTCTGCCTAGCAGAAAGCCAGGCAGTTTAGTGGAGCGTCTGCTCCTTCCGTTTCCATAAGTAACCTTGCTTTCTACTTGCCATCTCTGAATTTTAATCGGTCAGTTCTTTCGTGATGGAAAGACTGTATATGTAAGACCTAATATGTCTAGAAATGGAGAATTTGAAGTGACTGGTTCATAACTGCCAGTAGACTGAGTTTGCATGAATTATGTCAAATTTTATGAATGTTTCCTAACAATGGAAGAGAGATTTTTCTGGGTTTGAGGATCCATTACAACTTGCATGCATTAATTCTTACTCTTCTTGGCATTACTGATAATAGAAAAAAATGAACCCTTTCCTCTAAGTGCTTTTAAAAACACTTCTAATGAGAAACATTCGGAATTACTGGTGCTCCTAACTTTGGTAAGTTTGGTTCAGGATCTGTACCTTGTAGTTTGAAGTTGTCTTCTCCAGTAAAGATTTTGCAGCGACATTTAAAGTTTCCTTTATGCTGATGATGTAGTCTTTATAAATCCTGGTTAAGAGCAGATGAACATGCTAGCCATGAAGTACTCTGCTTTGAAAGCCCTTTTTCTTTAACAATATGACTAAAAATAAAATCCTAAAGCAGTTGCACTTTAGCCTGCATTTGTCTTCATTGGTTCGTGATATTCAGTGCTCATCACTGCTACTTCATTCTTTCCTTTTGAGCAGCCCATCTTTTCTTTTGCACAGTGGTTTTATCCTCCTGTATCTCTATACCTGGCTGGCTTCCTCTTAAAACATCTATAGCTCCCTGCCCCCTCCTTTATGTCCTTTTTAATCTTGTTCTCCCTCTCTGAGCATCACTGTAAAGCTCTTTTGGCATGAAATTTCAACCGGACACGAATCTGCCGGGAGGGATGGCAGAGTGAGCTGGAGAGTTGCCCTTCTTGTGCCCTTCCTGCCCTGCTGCATCAGCACCGCTCCATGTGGCAAACGGTCGCTGCTGCGCCACATTAGGTTATCTGCAGATTTCAGTCGCAGGTTTATACCTGACCTTGTCATTAATAGGTAATAAATGCATTGGGTTTGCACTGTGGCTTGGCATTAAGATCTATTTAAACTTGGTTTATGGACTTTGTCGTGTTATTTTCCTCATGAGATGTGCCTCTCCCTTGGGGCTGCATTCTTCGCACTGGTGTTCTGGGCTGACTTGCCAGTAAGTTTTGCTCTCTTGCAGCATTACGTATTTTCCAGTTTCATACCTAGGACTGATCAAATGTCATAGATTAGCCTGAGTGTTTGCTTTTGGCTCTTATGCTTGAACTTATTTACAGAGTGGGTATTTTTGCATGCATTTCTTTTCAGTGTTGAAGATATCCATGGAATAGCACTTTCATTGGAGTTTCGTGGGATGTTAAGCATGTTTTATTAGCAAAGAGTATTTTCTGCCCTAATTTAACATGAAGTGTGGGATTCCATTGCAGGATTCTTCCCAGAAAGACCTAAGGAAATTGCATCATGATTATGGATTAGAAGATTTTTTTACAAAAACATTGTATATCTCTTCTCTTTCCTTTTTTAAACATCTGCCTGACAGAGGGGTCATAGGACTTAGTATATGGTAGGTAAATACTACTAGATAGCAAATACTAAAGGCCCCAGTATAAGTTAAAAAATTAGGATCATTTCTTTCAAATTTAAGGGCAAAGAGCAGCCTCTTATTCCATATAATTTTTCTGAAGTCTGAAATCACCAGGGCTATGTATCTGCCAACAAACATCTTTAATGAAGGGGCGAGCATTAGTAATAGGCTTTTGATAAATTGAAAATCTAATATTTGAAAGTTCTGACTATATTTTTATTGTCTCTTTAAACTCTCACCACTGAGATAAATACTTCGTGATGAAGGGACTTACTACATGAAGTGATCTTTTGCCAGTACAACTTACCTTATACTGAAAAAGTAAAAACTGTTGGCTCACAGGTTACCTTAGGTATGTCACATATGCTTTCTACTAACAGCTGGGTCCAGACCCTGGTAGTTCAGAGAAAATAATAATTCAGGTAATAATTCTGAAAATTCAGATGCAGAAAGATTCATAATGAGTGTAGACAATTGTCATGTGCTATATGTAGGAGATAAAATGCTACCAGGATTTTGAAGGTCTGGGGCTTGAAATTTCATCAGCTTTTAGTTTGTGTGACTGTGAAGATTTAATTCTTTCAGTGTTCTGGGAAGGAGTGAAGTAGGTCTCAAAGAAAACTTTTGGGAGATAAAAACTGTTTCTGACTCGTTAATTTTGTACGTTCTACACAAATTTAGGTGGAAGTTTGTATCAACCGTGCTCTAAACAAATGATAAGCTGAATTCACACACATTGACAAATGCTAAAATTCAACATGCTTTCACAGCGTAATAAAAAAAATCTTAGGATTTAGCTTCTATAAATCTCATTACCTTGCTAGGATTACAGACTGAATGCCATTGAGGATCTGTTGGTG